AATATTTCATAGACAGAACTTAAATTCTATAAATGAATTCAAGTGTAGGAAATGATAATTTATTTCTTGCATTTAAAATTGTATTACTTTTGCTAATTTAATTAAAAATTCTGTTCAAATTGTTACATGTTTGAGTGTGTGATTGAAAAATAATTCAAATAAATTATTATCTTTGATCACTTTGTAGAATAAGATGTAAATCTGATTTGTTGTTGAAATTGAGAAATACCAAATGCAGGTTGATTGTCAGTTATTTTCAATTAAAACAAATGTGGCAGGTGGCAATGCTTTGATTTTTAGCAAATGCAACAATGAAATGGCGTTTACAATGATTTTTAGTAGACGTCCGTCCGTCCACTATACCCAAATGACCTGAAAAGCCAATCAATATAAATAAACTTTGAACTTTGCGTTTGCGGAAAGAAAGCAAAGCGAACTTTTTGCCTAGCGCATACAACAATAACAAACAAGCATAGAAAAAATAAAACAAAATCTGCCAAATAAACTTGAAGGCAAACCAAACAGAAAATGGCATAAAAATAAAATCAAATAAACCGAAAGAAAAGTTCAAATAAAATGTGATTATACGTCGAGTGTGTGGTAGTATGTGCCTGTGTCTGCTCTGCCTTGCTCTGCTTTGTCCGACGCACAAAAACGTGCCCAAATATAAAAGTAAACTAGCTGTTGAAATCTCAGACTCCTGGGTTAGTTGCATTCAAAGCAACAACAACTAGATCAGCAGCAGCAGCAGCGGCAGCGGCAGCGGCAACAATAGTCTATGCGGAATGTAGAAAAATTCATTTTCACTCGCAAAAAAGAAAGAAAAACGCATATGAACAGGAAAAAATAGCGATAACTCAAATTGAATGCCAATAAAGTAACATATGCGGCCCTCCAACTAACACACACACACACACACACACACACACACACTCATATCAGCACAACTCTGCGTATACGTAACAGTAACTAGCAAGGCGTTGGCTGAAGGACACGCCATGGGCAACGTGAGGCGCCCCTCCGGAAGTTGGCAACGCAGCGCAGCAAAAGAGAGAGAAAAAAAATATAAATAATAAAAAAAGGAGAAAAAATCGTAAGAAGAAAACTGAATCCAAG